CTGGTTGTTATAGTCATGGTCGTGGTTATGATCATAGTCGTGGATGTTATAGTCATGGTCGTGGTTGTTATAATCATGGTCGTGGTTGTTATAATCATGGTCGTGGCTGTTATAATCATGGTCGTGGTTGTTATATCATAGTCGTGGTTGTTATAATCATGGTCGTGACTGATATAATCATAGTCGTGGTTGTTATAATCATGGTCGTGGTTGTTATAATTATGGTGAAACGGTTGGTTAATTGCCAATTAACCAGGTTGGTTCACATATATTATATTGGGCTTTAGTAACGACACCCATTTGAAGTTTCTTGTTTTATTAGAAAAGTATTATGCTTATATAATTCCTGAGTGTTGGTCAACCGTAAGTTCCACTATTTATGAGTGTGATGAGAAAGGATGGCGTTTATGTAATATAAACGTGAATCAACGTCCGTTCGATATTAGTTGGTGTGAGTGAATGCCTGAAGGCGTCGCCCTGGTGCTCCCTTACATAAATACTGACATATGAGCTTTTCTCTCTTGGGAAAGCTACCATTCACATGTTCAGTTCATGTCCTCAGAGATAGTGGAAAATTACCGGGAATAATCTGAATATAAATCAGATGTATATAACCCATTTATATAATACTTCTGTTGATGAGACAGGGACCATTACATCGCTCGGTCACCACAGGTCAAGCTCCGTCAGGCCTAAATAAGCTCAGAGAGTACAGTACATCCTATGCAACCCTAACCATGCTATAAACAAAGGTGTAGATACTAAACTGGGGATTCAACGACTGTAGGGGTTTTATCTACGACAAGTGGCCCTATACTTTAGTGTCATACTGGTTAAAATGTTATGCACAACTTTCATTTTGGATGACACTGACTTATAATAAAAAAACAGAAATATGATTGCCAAAATTAACATAATAGTGGGAATTGTGAGACCAGGTCTAGCAAATTCCCGTGATAAATAAAATGGCAAATTATTATTCAAATCAGCAAATTTTGTCTCCTTCAAGAATGCAATGACCTTTAATTTCTCTGAAACAATCTGAATATCCTTTACAGTGAAATTCATGATAGGAAGTGGAATTAAAGCAGACTTGAGTTTTAAATTTAAGGCAAATTGCTGATGAGTAGGCAAGGTCAGTTATGAACCACAAGTGATTTCACAATAATCCGGAGCCTTGTAATGACCTTTCACAACTAGTTGCTTAACACCATCATGGCATTTTAAAATAACAGTAGTTGTATTTGGAAAGAATAAATACTGCACATTGTGGAGATGAGCGTAAAACACAGTTTTGACACTAACTGGCCTAAAGCTACATTGCGCAAGTGCTGTGCGTACATTTGTTTGTATGACTGCCAATTCACATATTCCCTCTGCAGCAGGATTAAACGCGAACATATAGGCTGGACATACGTGTAGGTGTAGATATGACGACTTACACCGTGACAGTACCTCAGGATCCTCTAATGCCAATAAAGAATAATCTTCATCTATAAGGAAAAGTTCTTTAGGCCTATCCAGGGTATACAGTGTGTCGTAAACAAACCAGGGGCAGGGTTCTAAATGCCATGCATTAAACTCATGTTGCCCTCGCATAGGGATGTGGATGAGAATAGCACTGTGCGTGAGAATCGACTCCAACAGAGGGTAATAATATTCTACCTCATTATTATTAAAAATAGGGGTTAAGTGATACTGCAACTTGGCAATCTGTAAAGCATCAAGAAGTGTCTGCACAGGCACAAGCTCTGCGTTCACACGCCCTATCCCTGCATCTACTATGCTGTCAATTAGTTCGGTATTACAGGTAACAACCTTCTGAACTGAAATTTTCCTCAGTATGCAAATATTCTGTGAAATAAAGGAGCCACTCTAACGTCGGGATTGATTTCTGTAACTTATTAACAACCCTCGATACATGGTTAGACTCCGATATTATCTCATTAACTTTTGACTCTAAAGCAGTAATCGCATGAAATGTTTGAGAGATAACGCAATTCTGCTGAGATACAGCTTGATCGACAAAGTTCATTCACCTTGCACAGGATGTAAGGGGGTGCCCAATAAACTAGCCCCCTCGGGGGCAAATCTGAATCTCAAATCTGAATGTTCATTCGGTCCCCCAATTTAGCTACATCGTCGGCCGTTGCCGTTGTAGTGGACGTCTCCCCTACAACTGCCTACAACTGCATAGCCGCAGCCACCAGCTGCTACCACCTTCCCTAGCAACCAAACTAGCGTGCCTTCCACCAGATGCCGCAGTATCCTAGCAACGGAGCCAAAGACCAGCGACTTCTCGGGTTTTCCCAACATGACTCATAGATGACTCACGGCTGCTGGGTATATAAGCTCTGTCTCTCCATTGAGATTCATTCTGGCCATTCTTCTTGAACACGCAACACCTCCTCCAGCAAGCTCCTCGCTGTCCAGCTTTCATTCAACCAGGAGGCCAGCAACAGGCAACATCTTCTCTAACGAAGCTCCTGCACATCTACCTCCTTCAACACGCTACTCACCGAACGTCTCTACTGAGCAGCTCCTCACCACACGGCACCTCCAGCACCAGACTGTCTATCATATAACTTATATTATATAAGAAAACCACCTTAGAGTTTCCATCCATCCTGAGTGCTAGACAACATTATACCACGAATTCCTACAAATGGTGACCCCCGGAGATTAGCACTCACACAGGATGGAGGAGACACTGATCACGCTCCCAGTCTTCAAGCAGCAAATGGCTTATCCACACAGAAGCAGCTCTACTACTCTAAGCAGACACCAGCTCCTCTTCCTGCCCCAAGCACCACATCCTACCGACCCCAGCACACCCGTCCTGCCTCAGACGCCGACCCCGGCCCAGCAGTAACCCCTGCCGCCCCTGACGCGGCCTCTGTTCCTGAGTGCGGACCCACACACCCCTTTTTTCTCCCTCAGGTACTCCCTGCTAATGTCCTGCACCCTGCTGCTGTCGTGGACCCAGCTGCTGTCACGAGCCCTCATCCGCTTCTGCTGACGCAGCCCCTGCTCCTGACCCAGGCCCACACACCCCAGCAGGCGCATCTGACGACTCTGTACCTGCCGTGAGGGAAGCACAACATTCATCGCCTCCACACACCCTCTTTTCTCCCTCAGGTACTCCCTGCTAATGTCCTGCACCCTGCTGCTGTCGTGGACCCAGCTGCTGTCACGAGCCCTAATCCGCTTCTGCTGACGCAGCCCCTGCTCCTGACCCAGGCCCACACACACCCCAGCAGGCGCATCTGACGACCCTGTACCTGTCGTGAGGGAAGCACAACATTCATCGCCTCCACACACCCTTTTTTCTCCCTCAGGTACTCCCTGCTAATGTCCTGCACCCTGCTGCTGTCGTGGACCCAGCTGCTGTCACGAGCCCTAATCCGCTTCTGCTGACGCAGCCCCTGCTCCTGACCCAGGCCCACACACACCCCCAGCAGGCGCATCTGACGACCCTGTACCTGTCGTGAGGGAAGCACAACATTCATCGCCTCCACACACCCTTTTTCTCCCTTCTCCCACAGATAGTGTGTATCTAGACAGTTGTATTCAGCGATCGGCTCATTCACGCCATCGCCGTTGTCTCACATGAGGCATGCACCGCCCGGTCTGCCTCACATGTGCTAAGCAACTCTACAGACAACAAGTCTCCTACACCGCCTGGAGGGAAGGGGGAGTATTGTAGTGGACGTCTCCCCTACAAACTGCGTAGCTGCAGCCCACCTGCTACCACCTTCCCTAGCAACCAAACGAGCACCAGATGTACCGTATCCTAGCAACGGAACCAAAGACCGGCGACTTTCTCGGGTTTTCCCAACATGACTCATAGATGACTCACGGCTGCTGGGTATATAAGCTCTGTCTCTCCATTGAGATTCATTCTGGCCTCTCTTCTTGAACAAGCAACACCTCCTCCGCCGCTGCCTGCCTGGCGGTCCTCGCTCCCGCCAGCGAGCATGGCGACCCACCAGCTGTCCTTCTCTGAGCTTCCTCACCAACCAGCTCTCATTCTGGCCATTCTACTTGAACACGCAACACCTCCTCCAGCAAGCTCCACGCTGTCCAGCATTCATTCAACCAGGAGGCCAGCAACAGGCAACATCTTCTCTAACGAAGCTCCTGCACATCTACCTCCTTCAACACGCTACTCACCGAACGTTTCTACTGAGCAGCTCCTCACCACACGGCACCTCCAGCACCAGACTGTCTATCATATAACTTATATTATACAAGAAAACCACCTTAGAGTTTCCATCCATCCTGAGTGCTAGACAACATTATACCACGAATTCCTACAAGATATTGGTTCACACTCAGGATGGGATGGAGAAAGGAAACTCACAATGTGCTCACTATATACATATTGTATTGGATGTACAATGCAGCTTGTTGCTGGGTAGGTAGCATGGTAATGAGCGTTGAGTAGAGAGATCTAGGTGGTGAGGGTGCCCAGAGTGAGGGCACGCGGCATGAGGGACGCCAAGGTCGCTGGCGGGAGCGGCAGCTGCACGGCTGGTGCGGAGGAGGAGGTGTTGCTTGCTGGTGGCACTGGGTAGAAAAGAGAGGCTGGTCACAGCGGTGTCAGGCCTTATAAGGCGGGGGTAGGCGTGGGTACATAGTTGACCCCCGCTCCGTGGGCGGCGCTGGAGGCGTAGGCTGGGGAATTCGAGAAGGTTCGGTTCTTGATATATATAATGAATATTATATACTTTAATTGCATTTAGTGAGTATAAAAAATAATTGAAAATGTAATTTAAATTTTTAATATAATATGAAGCATAATTAAATGTACGAATATAAATATAAACAAAAAGTGCATCTCAAGAATTTTTGTTAATAGTTACGCATGTAAGAAATACCAAAACGTCCTTTATAATATCACACCTTTCATAGATGGCGGGCCAATCGGAGGCCACCTAAGACATGATAGGATTTAAGAGGAGTTATGTTCCCTTCTCTGTATTCCCTGGGTAGTATGTTTAGAACTGACAGGTAGTCAGGTACGACGTCACTGTTAGCAACATCCGGATCCTCAAGTTGTAGGGAACTAGGGGGTCATGGCTGCAGCAGGGACTGTTCTGCCTTTTGTACGAGGTATAGATTTAACCAAAAATGATTTTAAGGTAAGATTTTCAACGTGATATAGCTTGTTAACCTGCTTCTGTGTTTTGAGGTCACTTCTGGTTATCTCTTGTGCAACTAGGCCAGTGACTAGTGCAAACGATTACCCCTCGTAGAAATTTAGTCCACCATGGGTATAGTTATAATAATCACAGTATCAGCTGTATCCTGTGAGATAAAAGAAAATTATATTGCAATTCCCACGGCTTTAGTGCTTAATTAAACTTGAAGGTACAGAGATGGGGGATAAATAAAGTTAATGATGCCTTTGAAAAAGATAAACTTATTACACCTGCACTGCCATGTCTTGCAATATATTTAAGTTGGTATTAAGCATAAATAGGTATTTTGCCTGTCATTTTTCATTTTGTAAAATTTTTCGGTAATGTTGGAGAACACGGCTAGTACCAGAAATAAACTATGGAATTGGGTAAATTTATACTTTCGGACATGAGTCACTAGGCGTTGACCAATAGGTTTTTCCAGTGTATTTTGGTGTTTTAGAACGAATCTGACCTTTATTGTTGGAGGAAATTGCTCGTTTTTGCCCCCCCCCCAACAATAATGGGGAGAGCCTGAGAAATCGGGGTTTTTGGGTGGGGGAGACAACGAAACGAGTCATCTAACCTAACAAAACCTAACCTAACCTATCTCCTAGCCAGTGGCTCCACCCCCGGTAGGCCTAGCTTAAACTAACCTAAATGTTTCAGTCGTTTAAAACGTTGGGGCGCGCCATTTCCGTAAGTACAATACCTTAGTTAGAAGTGAAGGACCAGGGATACGTAAGAATTTGGAAGAATGATCGTCTTTTTCGTAAAACCAGGCCATAAACTTAAAATAATAGTAGGAGCTCCAGTGACAACCAACCTGGGTAAATGTTTACAAAACTGTTATCATTAGAAGTTGTTGGTTGATTTTCTTAATTTTTGCTATACTTATTGTTTTGATGGTTTTAAGTATATTAAAAGAAACTACATTTTTCTAGTATAATTTTAAGTGTTTCCCTAGGATTTTTTTTTATTTACTCTATCCTACGATCAATAAATTCCATGTTAGTGGGCAGGGCATGAAGGATGAGGGAAATTATGGGGTAAAAATACGGCGAACACTGATGTTATGGCATTAAAATTGCGTCTCTAGGTGCATTTCAAACAGCAGAAAACATTTTCTTACCATTTCATTCCCTCTCCACAATTTTCCTGTCGGCGCCGTTGCTCGTTCCCCTCAAACCTGTATAAATTCTGTTCCATTACTCCTGATCGGGAGCCACGAATTACCCAAAAGTACCCAAAAGTATAGCAAATAAGGGTAAAATCTTAACGAATATCTGTTATACATACACAAAACATGTCTAATAATATTTTTAGTGTAATTTTGTAAAAATAATTTGTAAGATGAAATAATAAACAGCGAAAAACTTTCAGTATTGGCGAACGCTAAATTCCAAAGAGTTCGTGAACAAGGGAGATAACTCAGATCCATCGTGATGCACTTCGCTAACCAAACCTAACGAAAAGTAAATCCTACGGCCATGTTAAATACCCCAAAGTAACAGAAACATCGGTAATTATATCTCCATTTTGGATAGGTGACTCTTTGGAATTTAGCGTTTTTTGCTGTTTATTATTTCATTATTTTGACTACATTTCAATGAAAACATTATTAATCAGGTTTTATTGATGTAAAACATATTCGTTAAGATTTCACCCTGATTTAATATACTTTTGGGTACTTTCTGGTACATTTGGGTACTTTTGGGTAATTCTTTGGACCGCTCCTGATCCTTTTAATAAAAAAATAGGCATCTTTATTAATGTTGGAAATACGTTAATGCCGGCCTGTTCTTCTTTTGTTTACTTATTAAATGCATTCTCTCTTTTTTCATAGCCAATGATTTTTATTTTGTTATTTTTCAAGCAATAAATGATGTAAATCTGTCATGTGTATACTTTTACGCCAAGGATGTGATTTATCATATCGCAATTTATCAAACCTATTTATTGATGAATCTTGCTTGTTATCTTTGATCTGTGACCATAATTTACTTAAGAACACTTTCAAATGTTTGAAATGCGGAACAGACTTTCATATTATGAAAAACTACAAGTATTAAAGTAATATGCGATCCTACAAATATGTCCACAGACGCCATAAAATTATAACCTAACATACCTAACCTATGGGCATGTTAGGTCAGGTTCTATTAGGTTCTATGTATAGTCATTTCAATTAATGTGTTTATTATCATGCTATTATAGTGTAGAAAAAATTTAAATGCTTTCTACTAAAAGCTTCTGGCGTTAGCCCTAAACTACACCTTTACCAAATTTTTTGTATTTTGAGGATTTTTTTTCAATTACTCTATCCTACAATCTTAAATTCCATGTTAGTGGGCAGGGCATGAAAGATGAGGGAAATTATGGGGTAAAAACACGGCAAACACTGATGTTATGGCATTAAAATTACGTCTCTAGGTGCATTTCAAATGCCACAATCATTTTCTTACTGTAAGTCACCTAATTCCCTACCGCTGCCATTCCTTCCTCTCCAATTGTATAAATTGTGTTCCATTATTCCTGATCATTTTAATAAAATAATTACGCATCTTTATTAGGTTTAAAATTGCGTATATACCACTTTATTCTTTTTTTGTTTACTTATTTAATGCATTTGCTGTTCCCTTTATATTATCACTATAGTTTGTACATCACATGACGATTATGTGTTAGAGTGTCTTGTTTACATCAAGTTTGATCTGCGTTGTTGTGATTATTTTTATCTCGAATTATCAGGCCTAGTTCTTGATGATTCTCGTTTGTTAGTTCTTATTTGTGATCAAGGTTTAATTAACTCAATATTAAGGTAAGTTGTTTACGATTTTCTATAAGAATTATATCAAACACAGAAATGGAAACGACAATGCATAAAACCTAATAGAGCCTGACTTAACAAACCCTGGGTTGTTAGGTCAGGTTTTATTAGGTTCTATGTATTCTCGTTTCCATTTCAGTGTTTAATATCATGTTAATAGTGTGTAAAAAAAATGTAAACCAAATCGCACATTTCCTTTGGGTGATAACAGTTTCGTAAACCTTTACCCCAACCTCCACCATGCTTCCTTTGAAAAAAAATCAAATGTGATTGGTCGAAAAAATTCGCATGATGATCTCGATGCTTTCATTGGTCACGACTGGATGACATCAGTCATAATTGTGCATGCGTGATGCGCCGATAACAACACCTCACAGAGACAAAGACTGAAAACACGTAAAATCATATAAATTTAATTGTTGCTAATATCCATTTCCGCCTGGTATGTATGGGGGTTCAAAATGCTCAGAATAAGGAGATCTAAATGTTTTAGTAGCTTATAACTTTTGGGCGCGCTATGTCCTAAAGTAAAATAATACCGAATGATGTTAAACACGAAAATGGAAAGGAGGTTGCACAACCTAACAACCTGATCTAACCAACCTAACGAAAGAGGTAATATTTCACTAAACAGCAACCACAGAATTCTGGAAATTCACTACACTTAATCGATAGAACTATTTTTTCTATGATAATTTTCTTATACTGTACAACACTTTGGTTAGGTTAGATAACACTTTTTTTTATCAGATTCTTTGGTTGCTGTAATCTGCAATTTTACCACCAAAGAAACCTACCTAACCTTACCTAAATTTCTCGGCAGACTATAGGCCCATTAGGCGAAAAGAAAAGTAAAATTTTAGTTTCGGTCATTCCTTAACCTAATTTAACCTAACATAACCTAATTCCTAAGATTCCCTGGGTGACCGAACTAAAATAATACTGAAAGAACTTACTTAGATATCTGGTACCAATGAAAGCAACAGTCTTGGGTATTTTTTTTTTCCTGTGGACATGAGAGTATGATCGGTTATTGCACTGAAACATTTTGCTAAAATTATCGTTTCGAGGATCCAGCGATTTTTAATATTTTTTTTCTTGGAATTCGTAGTTTAGACGATTCTAAGACACTTTTCTTCTATGGCATTTTGCCCACTCATGATTACTTTAAGAGAAGATCGAAAAAAAAATCGAAAATCTTTGTTTTTCAAAGTTTCTTGAAATTGAAATTGTTTTTCCAGTGTTTTTTCTGTGTTTTGAACGAATCTGACCTTCATTTCTACTGTTAATCACACCAAACATAACAAAACCTAACCTAATCTAATCTATGTAAAATTGGCATTGTGGTTATCCAGCAATTTTAGGATTTTAAGTTTTTGAATTAGTAGTGCTTACCTTAATTAGACTCGGAAGACTGTGAGTTGGGGTACATCAGGGTTATCATCCACAGGTCGCACTGGCCGCTGTTTCTCACTTTATAATTACTCTTCCGTTTTTTCGACTTCTGGATGGCAATTCTCCTTTCATAGTACCTGAGGTGTTTGTTTGTCAGCTTGATAGCTACAGGACTGGTTACAGATTTTGCACTTAACCTCAATTGGCAACACACCGTGTTCCTGGAGAAATTTTAATGCCTCTATTGTCTTTACTTTAATACTTAACATGAAATCTTGCGATTGCTTGGAAGTAATCTATATCACAAGGGAGACATATTGGAAATACTGTAAATTCAAATTCAAGGGGGTCACAGCGGGAGGCCTATACCGAGCTGTGATTGGTTGATCCAAAATCATACTCACCAATGAACATGACAGACTCTTGCAAAGAACTACTGCACATGGATTATTATAGTAAATAAATGGAGTTTCTAACTTAATTAGAGCTGCATTTACAAACTCTGGTATTTAGACTCAAGGAAACCACCCCCAGCACCCAGAAACATTCTGGGGAATTTGGCTAGTGTTTGAGTGTGCAAGATGTCTAGTTTAGACACTTGGAAACTTTTCCCCAGTTACAGGAAAAGATTCCGGGGATAAGGAATTTTTCCGGGTTTGAGAAAGTCGTCTGGTTAGCCGGAAATCTCGACTTATGACCACCCGGACACACGACCGCCGCAGTCTTACAATTTTTT